GACAGCTTCGCGGAAGTAGCTTGCCATGAGATCGCGAGTTTTTCGAGTCTCTGGAGTATTCTCCGCTACTCGAAAGAGTAGTACCTTTTTCGCGTAGAGAAATGTTTCCTCTTTTCTTTTTTTCTTTTTTTTCCCCCTCTTTTTTTTGTTTCTTTTTCTTCTTTTTTCTTTCGTCTTCTTCTTCTTCTTCTTCCCGTGAAGTTAATCGACAACGATCTCGGGGTAGAACGCGCTCGTTGATCTCCCGGACACGTGTAATTCCATTAGACCGTCTCGTTCGCTTCGACGTGTAAATCCGATGATAAGTATTTTGAAGGAGTACGAATAAAGTATGCTAAATTATGCAAGGCATGTAGGAATGCGAAGTAATCTCTCGCATGATGAGCAAGACCGTGAGCCAGACGTTCCGTGTAACAATGCGCGCGCGTTCACTCAATCTAACCTACCTTGATAATATGATTTTAAATCCTTTGAAAATTACCGTTTACGAATCTACCTAAAATAATAAAAGAAAAAGAAAGAAAAAAGAGATCAACCACAAGAGAAAGTACATTCACTCGTGGTTATTTGCATGATCAGGCAGAAGAAAAAGAACTTTCGTCGATATCAATTGTTCGATACTCATATGGAATGGGTGGGAGAGAGGATGAGAAAAAAAGAAAAAAAAAAGAAAAAAAATAAAAGAAAAGAGATGTAAGCGCTATCGTTTAGCCACTTTTTTTTTTCGATGTACTTCCGATTGATACCCGTTAATGCGGGTCCGGAAAACATTGCGACGGTGTTTAATCGTCGGGAGAAAAAGAGGAGGAGGAACAAAGAGAAGAAAAACCTCCCCAAAAAAGAAAGAAAGAAAAAAAAGGAGAAATAGAGAAAGAGCAGAGGTGAGAAAAGGAAATTAAAAAACACCAAAAAAAGAAAAAGGAAGAAAAGAAAAAAAGGAAAATATAAAGGGAGATTCAAGTGGGACGACGAAAAGAGTATTTCTTTGCGAAAGAGTGTATTTGAAAAATGAATGTCTCTTCAGCGTGGGCAACAACTGGTCTCTTCTCTCTCTCTAGGCACAGGAGGGACTTATGGAGGATAAGGAGGAGGTGGAGATGAAGGAGGATGAGGATAGGGAGGATGGAGGGGGTGGTGGTGGGGGAGGTGGCGGTGAGGGGATCGGGGAAAACCGGCGGAACGGGACGTCGTTAAATCCGTCGTCTCCCCCTAATAAACAAACTTCTCTCTCTCTCTCTTTCGGTTCTCTCTTAGCTTCCCTCGATTACGTAAGATTTGCCACAAAACAGCGAGGCGCAAGTTCATTAAAACGTTACGTTGGCGTCGACGTAACGCCAGCGCAGGTGGATTACGCGGCTTTATTATCCCTACACCGAGTTTCTGCTGCTCGTGCGCGATTATTTGCTCACTTGGCCACGCATAGCCAGCCAGGTCTTATCTTTTTACCGTGAAGGAGCTTCGATTGGTCGTCTTTTTCTTCTTCTTCTTCTTCTTCTTCCTCTTCTTCTTCTCCTTTTTTTTCTTTTTTTTTTTTTTTGTTCTTTTTTCCTGTCTCTTTTATTTTATTTTCGTACTTTACTTCTTCTTCTAATTCCTCTTCTTTTTCTCTTTTTTCTTTTTTTTTCCTCTTCCTTTTATATATTTTTTTTTTTCCTTTTATTCCTCTTTTTTTTTTCTTTTTCTTTTTTTTTTTTTTTTTTTTCTAATCGATCGAACCGAACTAAGGCCTCGTTGGAATATTAACGAGTTTTTCGTTCGGTAAACGTTCCTCGTGCCGTACGCGGAAAAATTTCTCACCCGTTATTTCCACGCTCGTTTTAAAGCGCCTTAATTATCGCCGTAGGAAAAAAACGAAAAAGAAAAGGAAAGAAATATACGTCGCCGAAGATTATTTGATCTTTGATTCCTGCGATATTGTATATTGGAAATGTATGTATCGCGATAAACGTTCAAATCGATATTGACCTAACGAAAAATTGAGATTATGAACGGTAAAGTTGCAAAATCGGGATGGAACGTTAAACGAGAATTCTTTTTTCGATAAATTAAGATATTTTTCTACAGTTCCTTGTCATACATCGGCATAAGACAGAGATAGACGGACAGACAGACAGAGAGAAAGAGAGAGAGAGAGAGAGAGAGAGAGAAAGAAAGAGAGAGAAAAATTCGATCGATTAATCCGAAAGAAAGCGCACGTTGCGCCAATCCAAATTCTATTTATTTATTCTCGTTCGTTCTTAGTCCCCGCGAGTTCTATTTATTTGATAATAAAATAAAAATTACATAAAGTAAAAAGAAAGATAAAAGGACGCAGAAAATACATACCTACACACATACACACACACGCGCACACGCACAACACACATACATATATATATATTTTTTTTTTTTTTAATCGTGCCTCGGTAACTCACAAAGTACTCTTTTTTGTTTAGGTGTACATAGATTTCGATCGAATGGGGACGATGCACGGCCGGGAAATGAGATTTTGTTGATACCG